ACGCCACGTCTCCCCAGCCAGCCTGCCTGTACACGTTATGGAGGTGCTTTCTGGAGGCATCATAGTGCACCCTCTCCCGAGTGTCGTTTTACCAAGCCTCCGCTGGCCCAGAGCATGGGTTGGGGCTGTTAATCTGTCGGGGCTGACCCAGACCAAAGAACTAAAAGGGGGTGGTGGGAACACCATGGTGCTACATACCAGTTTTCTTCAGAGCACTTGTCGAAGCGCTGGAGGGAGATTTCTTGAGGACGTTTAGGGTTTCTGTATGCAGGAAGTGGCCTGGGGCAGCCAAGACCTGCACACAAGCAAGGAGGAGAAGGCACGGGGCTGCTAGAAAGGGAAAAGGTGGAGAAAAGGTGAAATGTGACCCTCCCTGCAGAGAGGAGGGAAACCCAGCACTGCACTTGGTGACACAACCGACCATGTGCGATGCAGAGTGCCCCAGGTGTGCTGGGCACCATCAGGCTGGTCCATGCAAGCTGGAAAGCTTGCCAAAAGGCTGCAAATTTTTTGCCCAAGGGGTAGACAACCTCGCCTTTTCTCCTTGCCCAGCTCCCAGAAAGTCACACAAGTTAGTTTTAGGTGGAGCAAAGCACCCAACAAGTTTCATTCCTGGTTCCAAAGCCAGGGAGCAGTCTGGGTGAGCCAGAAGGCAGGACACCAGCTACAGGTGTTTGAAGCTGTGGCAGGTGAGGATGCCCTCAGGCGACACCCGTGCCACAGCTCCCCCTCGATGTGCGAGGACCAGCGCGTGGAGCATCTCCCTATAGCTGGGCTGCCCTACCTGTGCTCTTTGTCACAGCGAGCAAGGAGCTCCCACTTCCTAGCCCCGTAACTCACCCATGGTGTCCACCTGGGAACGGCCTGTGGAATGCCAAGCTGTGGAGAGCCAGCTCGCCGAGGCATGTGTAGTGCTCTCTGCAGTGGGTGGGGTGACTGGATCCTACCACCCCGCTCCTGGGTTCCCTTCTTCTGGAACTGGTTTGTGCCCTTAGAAAGCACAAACTGAGCTGCAGGTGCTTGTGGTTCTCAGTGCACGGCTTCCTGAGCTGCCGAGAAAATAATCCCCCTGCCAGCAAGAGTCCTTGGTCTCTTCTGCGAGTCCTTAGCTCCTTGGATGGAATTTCCCCTGGCAACAGCATATTTGGAGCGTTGAAGGGCGCAGCTCAGTAAATAAACACTTGAGTACCTGTCACCAACCAGTGTGGAGAGCAAACACTGGGGATGCCTCCACCTCCCGCAGTACAGCAGGGTGCTGCCACGTCCATCGCTTCTTCTTTCGTGTGCTTTTTTGGCAAGCCCAGGCGAGCTCTTGGTGGGGAAGTCAGAGCAGCCCCCAGACTCCCAGAACCTGACTGTTGTGGGACAGGGTTTGGAGCGGCTGGGGTTCTCAGGGCTGCGTGACATCAGGCAGAGGGTTGTAGCGGAGGCGATCTCAACCTGGCAGAAGGAGGAGAGGTCTCTATTCCCCAGTGGGTCACGGTCCTCATCTGCAAGGATGAAGCTGAATGGACCTGCTGAAATACACTGCTTAGAAGGTTTTTGTAGACAGGTTGAGACAGCTGTGGTCTCTGGGGCAGGGGTTTTGAGAAACTGGTCGTGCAGGATGGATAGCTACGAAGGAAAGCCAGTATCTGCCCAGGAACGGGATGAAACTGGGTGGATGGAGGGCAGCAATGGGGATCTGAGCATATAGAGGGGCATGGAGGGGTCTGAGCATGCAGAGAGGGGAAAGCAGAAAGCCTGACCCTGTGTGTATAGAGAAGGAATGAAGGGACCTGAGTGTCCGTGGAGGGACTGGAAGGGATCTGATGGTGGAACCCGTAGGAACTGAGCACCTACAGAAGGGACAGGTGGGATCTGAGGGCACTTGTCATGGAGAAGAGGGATGTGGGTGTGCACAAGTTAGCACTGAGCAGACACTGAAAAGAACAGAGGAGACGTGAATGTTGAGGAGGGGAACATACAGAGGGAAAGGAAGGACACTTGAGCATAGCAGAGAGGAATGGAGGGGATCTGTTAGCGCAAGCAGGACAACAGAGAGGTTCCATGCAAGCACACAAAGAGAAATGGAGATGTGAAAGCAGCTGGGTAGGAATGGAGAGCATCTGGGTGCTTGGAAGGGAATAGGATAACTCTGATCGGATCTAGAAGCACCCAGAAGGGAACAGAGGCAATCTGGAAGCACCCAGAGAGAACATGGTTTAGATGTGAGGCACAAGGAAAGAGAGGCAG